AAGGACAATATAAAAGCTGTGCACCGTAACAGAAGTTATAGGCTATGGCGAGAGTTTTGCTCACGACCTCTAGCCCCCGTGCTCCATGGACAGGCAGGCTTTCCGGGCCCAGTTGCCACCTGGATTCGGTGATTGGTTTGGCAGGGTGAGCACTGAGCACCCAAAGGACCAGAAGCCCAAGGAGCCTGGGTAGCACCACAGGAAAGTGCTGGTGGGAGCAGGCTGGGAGCTGAATCCCAGCCCCTGCTGGGGGCTAGGAGCCCTCCCTTCTGTCAGCTGAACCAGGAGCTGATGGCAGAGCCTGAAAATCCCGCTGCGTGCTGCCATTTTTGTCACCGCCATCTGTGTGTCCAGGACTTGCAGCTCCATGGGCTCTGGAGGGGCCGGGAGGAGGGAGGAAAACCATAATGAGCAGTGATGGCAGAAAACTGCGTTCCACTTCCACAGGACCTCTCCCTCCTCAGTGGCTCCAGATTAGATTCCGCCTTTCTCTGAAAAGATGAGTCCCCACTCTTTCTCCCTCTGGACCCCTTTCCCAGCCCTTGAGAGTCTCCTGTGGAGATTCCCACACCCTCCCCTCCCCTACATCCAGCACCTACTCCCCGGGGAATGGAGGGTCCCAGGAATAGAGGAAGACCTGGGAGTGGAGACCAATGTCCCCTCCTTCTGCTCCTGTGACAGTGGGAGCTGCCCCAACACAGGTCCCAGCTCCTTGCACCTCCAGGCCGAGGTGGGCCACACAGTCCCTCCTCCCTCTGTGGGTTCCCAGACCCCCTCCCTGCACAGGCAGCTGCCCCCTCCCTGCCCAGGCTGCTGCACACGGGTTGGCCCTGCCCCGCAGGCTCTGCCCTCCTGCCCCTCAGCCTTCCTCCCCTCTAGGAGGTTCCAGGGGGAAGGCAGTGGAGCATGTGGTTGCCAGAAAGACAGAACGAGACAGAGAGACAGAAAGCGAGATATCAAGCAGAATTGCCCCCCCCCCCCCCGGTGGGGATGGCCAGACCGCAATGCCCTCTCTTCCATTCTCCTCTCAGGATTTTGGGTATGCACATGTACACGCCCGGCGTGAGTTTAAGCCACTGGGTCCGGGACTCAAACCATGGACAACTATATGGGAGTCCAGTGACATAGCCATTTCACCATCTGGCGGTCCCATCAACACATTTTTCTCAGGAATAAACATTTGAAGTATGGACCAGTAAATGGTGTGGAGGTTAATCTGGCTGAATCCCACATGGCCAGCTACATGGTTTGAGTCTCAGATCCGGCAGCTGAAAAACATGCCAGGCGCATGTGTGTGTGTGCCCAAAATCCTGAGAGGAGAATGGAGGAGAAGGGACAGTGTGGCCAACCCCTGGGGGAGTGTTTCTCACTTTTCCTCTATCCCTCAGTCTCTCCTCCACACCTGCATGCACACCAGAGCAAAAAGTGAAAGAAAAAATATTAAGTAGGGGTTTTGAGAAATGAGCACACATTGCACCCCACTTTTCTGGTCAACATCCCAGTGACATCAAAGCACGTGAGATCCAGCCTCGGAGACAAGAGCCCTGTGAGGAAGGCCAGGCCCACACCAGACTGAAAACGCTGGGATCTAAGAAGTGAGGAGTCGGGGGGTGGCCTGGGCGTTACAGGGACCAGAGGGCGGAGAGACGGCCGCAGGAGAGGGCCCTCTGTCTGGGCCTGAATGAAACAGGGGAGTCGTGGGGACACACAAGAGCCCCTATCCACAGCCATCTGGCTTGGGAGGCCCTGAAGGGCAGACCTCAGGGCCATAAGAAAGTGTGCTTCATCAGGTAGGTAGGTAGGTAACTAATTAATTAAAGAAGGAAGTAAATAAATTACGTCCCACAGGGACCCAGCACTGACTTCTCAGTAAGGCACCACAGTGAGGGCAGGAATGATCCCCCAGTGCCCCTGAGCGGGGCCACACAGATGGGGCCCTGGTTGAAGGGCAAGTGACCAACCCTCAGGCCTGCGTCGTGGGGGGCTGGACAAGGACCACCCAGAGGCAGGACACCAACAGTGACTGACAAAGGGCTGGGGCCACCCCTCGAAAGGGCCAGGGGACACCTGCTCTGTCCACGCTCCCATGGGACAGATGTTGGAGAGAGCAGGGCAGGAGTGACAGAGGGAGCAGCTCAGGGTCAGACCCTGGAGGAGGCACAGGAGGGGCTGCACAGGGACAGCAGGTGGCCTCAGGGCCCATCCCAGGTAGGGGCTCTGGCGCCATCTCTGCTCTGCAGTTGGAGACTGGAGGCTGTCTCCCCGGGAGCAGAGAGCTGGGTGACTGGGGAGGGGGGCAGACAGGAAGGGCCTAGAGCATCTCCTCGTGGGGCCTGCTCGCTAGTTTCCCGGCCTGTGTCCCCTCCCAGCCACGTGCACTAGCTGCCCCCCCTGCACCAG